TATATAATGAACACTTGCATGTGACTTACATGTGTATATATAAATATGTATTTGTATATATTTATATATTACTATTTTATATAATATAATATAATATAATATAATAATTTTGTTTTGCATACTTTTGTGTCTTGTGTGTCTTTACTCACGGAAATATTATGTAAATCTTAATAATGATTAAAGAAATGGACTTGTGAACCAAAAGTAGCAGGTTCAAGTCCTGGCATCCTGGTTGGAATTCTTTGAGCTACATGATTGATAGATAGAAAAATCAATCAATCAATCAATCAATCAATCAATCAATCAATCAATCAGTACTTTTTTAAAATAAAAATAGAATGATTTTAGATGTGAAATATACTTGCAGTATATACTGATATATACTTTATAAGTGATGTATGATACATATAGGTGATATGTACTTTTAAGAGGTTTAAGATTATATCAGCAAATGGCAATTGTTGATTGAAAGAATGAAGATGTCTATCACACAAATGTTACAGCACAAGTTTGTGTAACTTGTGCTGTAACATTTGTTGTAATATTCAAGTTGAATACATGTATTTAGTTGTTTATTCAAATCATTGATCCTAAGCAGCGTATGAGTAATAATAACACACGCATTATCATCAGAACAGCATACAGTATACAGTCTCATTTGGCCCGCAGTCATAAACCGATGCTCAGAGACTCATCCAAATGTCTTGGCCCTCTCGCACGTAGGCATCTTGCTCACAGGAGGACTGAACAGCGCTAACTGTGACCCAGCACAACATCTTCCCTGTATTCTCAGCCCGAGCAGGAAACACATTGGCAGGCACGACGCAGACCCTCGCCTGGGCTCCCAATCCCCCCAGTGTCTCTCCTTCCCTCTTCCTCTCATCTTCTGTCGACTTCTCCAGCTGCACCGCTACGCTAGGGACACTTACGGTAACACTACTGCAGTTCCAGCTTTTATTAATGATGTTTCACAGACATTTTAAATACTTATTATAAAGTGAATTGTGACTGAAAAAGCTGGGATGTACAGTTGAAGTCAGAATTATTGACCCCCCCCCCCCCCCTGTTTAATGGAGAGATTTTTTTAAAACACATTTCTAATCATAATAGTTTTAATAACTCATTTCTAATAACTGATTTATTTTATCTTTACCATGATGACAGTAAATAATATTAAACTAGATATTTTTCTAGATACTATTAAATTTGGTCCCACTTTATATTAAGTGTCCTTAACTACTATGTACTTACATAAAAAAAAATAAATACAATGTACTTACTGTGTTCATAATGTATTTGAAAACACTTGTGGTGCTTTTGAGTTGGGATAGAGGTTGGGTTATGGACAGGTTTGGTGGTATGGGTAGGTTTAAGGATGGGTTAAGGTGTAAGGGATGGTCAACAGTGTATTTACAAATGTATTTACAAAAGTTATTTACAGATGTAATTACATACATGTATTTAATCAAGCATAAGTACACAGTAAATACATGTAAGTACAATAAGTACATTGTAACAAACTATTAGTTCCTATGTAAGTACATATTAGTTAAGGCCATTTAATATAGACCTTTTTCTTGGAACACAAAATTACCCATTATGCTTTGCGTGTATGCGCAAGGAGAATGCGAAGAACTTCCGGTCGGCAGCTGATGCGTGTAAACAGTCACATTTGGACAGCTTTGAAACGATAGTTTTAATCTATTTTACCTGCTTTTATCCTCTTTGAACTAATACTGTTGTCCATCAGCACCATCTCCTGGACTGATCATTTAAAGAAATGCGATCTAATAGGATGGAAAACAGCTGCTGTGAGGCGTTTTCCCCTCGTTGTCAGACGGCATCTTCTGCAGTTTAAATAAACCCTTGTCATCGCTAAAGTCAACATTTTCTCTTTATTTCAAATATATAACCAGCCCAAACAAATGTAATTCACCAAAATGTTTGACACACACACGTAGCCTGTACTGTGCCACTGACACACTGATTTAATAACTATGACAAAATAAAAATATAGGCTAGTGTCATTTCGAAATGACAGAAAAACACAAACCCGTGGTAAAAACAACACACGACTCGCGATTAGAATGAACAGCAAATCAGCCAGCAGAGGATCAGTAACAGACTTTTATTGGTCATTTTTGTAAATTGCACGACTTTCATACCTGTTAAGTTTCATGTCAGTACTCTGGTTTGCTCTCTCTCTCTCTCTCTCTGTGTGTGTGTGCGCGTGTATTTCTGACGGCAGACACGTGAACTAGGAGAACGTTTTTCTCGTATTTCTGACACGCTTGAACCACATGTGACAGATTATAACGGCTTTAACAGACACATTTCTAAGTTGTGTCACAAAAACACTCAGTTTTTTTTTCCAAATAACATCCATTAAAAATGTTATTGAAACCCATTTTCGGAGCGCAAATTACCAGTTGTACACGCTGTAAACGGAAGTTTTTAGCATTCTACCGGAAGACGCTGATCGCTATGGCGCCCTCCATGCAGCAGCCATGAAAAAAGTCTATAAAGTGGGACCTTAAACTTAAAGTGACATTTAAAGGTTTAACTAGGTTAATTAGGTTAGTTTGGCAAGTTATTGTATAACTGGTTTATTCTCTACACTAGAAATCTGCTCAGATTTTTTAGTCAGAAGTTTTAGTCCTGCTCCCGCCAGGTTTTTTTCTGCACACGACAGCTCCTGCTGTATATTCAGCTTTTGTCCCCCGCTGCCCGAGCTGCCCCCGCTTTCTACCCGACTCATTTCTTTCCATTCCTGCTAAATTCAAATCTTGTTTCCAAAATTTCACATAAAAATTGGGTACTACAAAAAAGAGTGATAACAGATGAAAGTAACCCAGGCTCATTCTGAAAACGTAGTCCCATGGACGTTTCTGGAGACCACGAATTATGTCCCGGGAGGTACGTATTTTTGCAGTTTTTTTTTTTTTCGTGACTTTACGAGATGCCACTGTGTTTGCTTTTTCGTATTTCAAATGTCTCTTGCGAGTGCCGTTCGAGCCCGTTCTGTTCTCGCGTAAACCCACCAGAGGTCGCTGTCAAATGACCATCTGTCTGACTGACTAAATGATTGACTGGGCAACCAGCCAATCGGCTGACCCACCCTCCTCCTTCCCTAAACCCAACCAATTTTACAGATTGACCTGCCCACCCACTTACTTCCCTAAACCCAACCAACAATTTAAAAAACGCCGTCCAGAAAAAGAAAAGTCAGATTTTTTACGACGTTTTCGGATTTCACCACATTCTCACCCTGTTATGGACTTGTTCACTTTATTTTTTGGATTCTGTTTTTGTCTTATCTAATTTCTGGAACCGCTCTTCCCCGGACTCGAACCAGGTCGTCATGGTCAGCTCCTCTCTGCGTCTCAAGTTCGCCGACGTACACAATGAGCTAACTGGACAAACTGGTTACAGCGGGAAAGCCCTCCACACGGAGGTAAGCGGTCAGCCGGTAATTGCGAAAAGGAACGACGTCATACCGACCCGTAGCGGTCGCTTAAAAAATGAAATGCAGCTATACGTACCTCCGGCTTCATAATTCGCAGTTGCAACAAAAGTGTAGGTTGTGCAAGGATTGTAGGCTTAATGTCAGTATTGTTTACCCCTTTGTGATGAGACATGAGTGACGTACGGTGAGGTTTGTTGCTGGTGAGGCACTGACTCTTCTAAAGTCAGACTTACAAACACATCCACTCAATATATTTGCCAACTACCGATTGTGTTTTATATCTCATATCAGCATTATTTCTATACACATAGCAGATACATATTTGGCCAAGGAAGAATGTAAAATGTATAGCCATTAAATATGTCTCCCAAAAAAAAAACACCCAGCTGGATGCTACAGTGTCCAGACAGCCTATAACAAGTGACACACAGCACCACGGATACGCACACTGTCTTTGCTCACTCGCACGCTCTCTCTCTCTCTCTCTCTCTATGTCTCTGGAACGCTATATTGTTAGACCGCCCGCTCCCGTTCAAATTACACCAGAGTTACCGACCACTACTACATTTTATTCTGAAATTTATTCCCGCTCCACAAGATATGCCGCAGCTCCAGCTGTACCATGTGAATGCAGACCTCTACTGTAGACAATCAAAAAAATATATAGCTTAAAGAGGCTAATAAAATTGACCTTAAAGAAATAAATACAGCTTTTATTCTAGCCAAAATTTAACAAATAAGACTTATTCCAGAAGAAAATGTATTGTAGGAAATACTGTGACAAAACTCTGTTAAATATCATTTGGGAAATATAAAAATAAATAAATAAATAAATAAATAAATAAATTACTGGAGGGCGAATAATTTTGACTTTAATTATAATTCTGGTCACACTTTATTTTACTGTACAGTTCACACTATTAACATACGATTAACTAAGACTTTTAGCTCAATAAACTACTGATTAGCTGCAAGGTAGTAGTTGGGATGTAAAATAAGATCATACTTTATAAATACTAATAAACCGTTAATAATATTAATAATAATATTAATAATACTAAGCTAATAAGCCAGTAGTAAACTTAATTGTTACTTAAACTAAAGTGTTAGCATAATTCAGCTAATAGAGTGCAATCGTGAGATAGAAGTAGATTTTTAAGGATAACATATAAACTTTTAAACCAAGAAGTTGTTAAATAATCTTTTGTTGAAGTCATCTTTTCGCATTGTTGGAACAGTTCAAGCGTGGAACAGCTGAATTGGTGCAGTAAAACTACACTACCCATGATGCTGTACAGAAAAGTCCACCAATCAGAGAGTCGCAGTGAGCAACAAAAATGTTTTTTTAAGTAAAGATTTTAAAGTTTTTGGACGACCCATCCCAGAGAGCTTAAAACACCCTATAATGTATTGTAAGCACATAATAGTTTATACCGCATAAAATGAGATCCTCCATATTTTACCCACACTTGGGTTTAACAGCCCAGCATTTTAAAACAATTAATTAATTAGTTATTTAATTAATTAGTCTTTCAGGTTTGTGACCCTCAAATATGTAAATTATCATATATAAAATCTTACATCTTTACAATTTTAATCTTAAACATTTCATTATGAATTACTTATGTATATTCACTTATTTTATTTTACTTTATTTTTTTTTCTTCAAGTACAAGTGCAAAAATGCCCAATGAAAAAGGATTGAAAAATGATTAATTTAAGTATTTGTTATCATTTCAAAACAATTGATGATGTGATCTAGACAATATCCATTTTGACAGTATTTTTCCAAAAGTAAAACTAAATTGGCCGTAATGTATGTGTCTGAATGAGTGTGTTTGGATGATTCCCAGTACTGGGTTGCAGATGGAAGGGCATCCCCTTGTAAAACATATGCTGGATAAGTTGGCGGTTCCGCTGTGGCGATCCCTTATGAATAAAGGGACTAAGCCGTAGGAAAATGAATAATAATAATTATATAAATAATAATTAATATAATAATATTGATAATTATTATTATTTATTTTTGTATTTTAATAATTTTTGTATTTACAAATGCACATTATATAGAGGTTCATTTAAAGCAGTATAAAATTGTGTCTGTAGATTTCATGTTTGTTAATAATTTAATAAATGTTAAACAATGTAACTTTGACAGTGGAAAACCTTTAAATCATTTTTAACTTTCTAAAATAATAACCTATGCATGAATACACTGCAAATTTGGTACTGTAGAGTGTGGACAGAGAACTTTTCCGTGGCATAAAAGTTTGTGTCATTTCAGCAGAAATCTGAAATTGGCTATGTAAAATGCATTGATGCAGTATTCTGTTGTGTGAAATGGAGATAGTTCTATGGATTAACTTGAATCAATGTCAGGAAAGCAAATAGTGACTCCAGTTTAGAGAATGGAGGTCTTACTATATCAGATATTTGGCTTGAGAGGAGAAGCTGATACACTCCAAAATAAATAAATTAATTAAAATTACATTTGCTTCTTGTTTCAATTAATTATTTAAAATGAGCTCAAACAACACAATGCTTGAGGTTTTTTTTGGCCAACTTAATTGTTTTATGTTCAATCCACTTAAATTTGTGAAACTAATACATTTATACAATGTAAAAAAAAGAGGCTGGCTTCCACAAAATTCCTTCATACATATGTAACACAAATCGATTAATTTAACTTCATAGTTTTTACACATTTAAGTGGATCTGTCACATCTGACATGTGGTGCAGGGAGAAAAAACAATTGTGAGAATCCAAAGGCAGTCTTTCCGGGTTTATTGATAACTCCAATTAAAACATATACAAAACAAGGACAGGGAGAACACTCAGACATTCTGGAAGTAACCTAAACGACTGACAACAAATGGCTTAACCGAGGCATATACAAGTGCAAACAATTAGGTTAAATAATATGACAACCCAGGCTCATTCTGATTATGTACCCCTATATACATTTCTGGAAAGAGCAAAATACGTCCCAGTAGCTACTTTTTTTTTTTTTTTTTTTTGCAGTTTTTGCTTTCACGCATCCACCAGAGGCCACTGTGTATGCTCTTTCAAACCCAAAATTTCTCTCATGAGTACCATTCGCTCCTGCTGTTCTAGTGGAAATCCACCAGGGGCCGCTGTTGACTGACTGACTGACCGATCGACTCCTACTTCCCTAAACCCATCTTATAGTGTTTTAAAAAGCACAGATTGAACAGCAAGCACCCCCGTACTTTCGCGGTCAACTCCACTCCGTGTCTCAGGTCTGCCAATGTACGCGGCCAGCCACTGGGCAAACTGGTAAAAGTGGAAAAGCAGTCCATATGGAGGTAAGCAGTCAGCTGGTAAGGGAGAAAAGGAACTGTGTTATACCCCATTGTAGCGTTAATTTTAAAGATGAAATGCAGCCATACGCACAACTGAATACATATTTCGTGATCTCCAGAAGTATAGGGCTATGTTTTAGAATGAGCCTGTGTTGCAACATGATGAGGGGGTGGAGACAAAGTAACTCAGGTAATTAACCAGAATACTCTAAATGAAAGGGCAAGACAAATAAAAACATTGAACTGAAGGAAACACTGGGACCGTTACAGGATCAAACCTAAAAAAATGTTGTCCCCTCCAAAATTTAAGAATTTTAATGTTTCAACTCATTTTAAATAAGTCGTTTAAACAAGCTACAAAAGCCTTTTCTGTGTAGGATTTTACTAAAATATAATAATAAAAATTTATAAAATTATTTCATCTCGTCTCAACAAAAAAATAAGTTGTGTGGAACCCAGCATTTTTGTACAGTGTATGCAGACATCATTTTATCTGTGCCTGAAGCACTTAATCAGAAAATCCATCAGACGATGGCGACCGAGGTAGTCTCTTGTTCATAAATAATAACACACTGATCTGAAATTGAATGTCCTGCTTTTTTATCTGCTAATATGAGGGAGGACGAATATTAAATAAATATATCTGGAAATATGATGGGAAAATGATGGGAAAATGTGTGGTTGTAAAGACTAATACAGAATTATGACGTCAACAGTACACTTATGCTTTATAGTAATATATATGTAATATTTTAATTAGATTTACAATATTATCTCTCAGTATAGTTGAACATTAAAGAGGCTCCTATTTTACAAGATACAAGTCTTTGGTGTCTCCGGGATGTGTCTGTTAAGTTTCAGCTCAAAATACCCATCAGATTATTCATTGTAGCCTGCTGAATATGTGAATTTTGAGCTAAAAAGACATTTTTGTTGCCTGTGCCTTTAAATGCAAACGAGCTGGTTCTGCCCGCCCACTGTTATGTCACATAAACAGCAGTCAGTGATAGAAACAGACAGATGATGCTAAGATCCAGTTTATTAAAATACTAAGTAGGGTTATTTGATGTTTTTGTTGTCGAGATTATTAGATTGTGCGCCCCATTAGTTAACAGTTAATTAAATTTTTATTTTTAATAGTAGATGCTTTGCTCTGTTCTATTAGTAATAGAATGGAATTATGAAATTTATATATATATATATATATATATATATATATATATATATATATATATATATATATATATATATATATATATATATATATATATATATATATATATATATATATATATATTAAAAATAAATAATAATAATAATTATAATAGTATTAAAGATTTTGCCCAATGTCAAGGAAATTTAGGATTGAACATTTCAAAATTTTAATAATTTAAATGGAATTTTTTCTAAATTTGTGTAATGTAGACAATATCCATTTTGACAGTACATTTCCATTATTTTATTTTGTTTTATTTTAAATAAAATATTTTATAATAATATGAAATATTTTATTTCATTATATTTTCAAATATTAAATTTTTGTAAGCTGTTTGGACAGAACTGTGTGTAGGTATAGTGTGTCCACGGTCATATTGGGGTGATATAGACACAATAAAACTCTTGTTTTTTTTTTGTATTTCCTGACGTTAAAATTGGATACAAATCCCTCCCATTTTGAGGTTGACCGCAATGCGACATTGGAGTGCGGTTTCCCCACCCACCAAATTGATTGACAGCCTCATATTAACATGTCTCCGTAGTAATGCATATAATCATATCAACAAAACAGGACGTGTGCGAAGCAACCAGGATTAAAAGATCTGTTCAGCTCTCTGTGATTGTCAATCATCATCAAATGTGATCAAGTCAAAATGTTTTTAAAACAGTGCGTTTTTGTATTAAAGATGGTGCAAATATCTGTAATTCATCACCACAGCCATGTGTCAGTACAATTATAAAAGAAGACACTTCAATACCGATTTGTGGACGTTAAATCAGGTTTATTTTGTACATTAACATAATGGATATCCATACAGCAGTTGATATTTACGTGTATCCTGTCACATTTTCCATTTCACATTTTTCAATTCAATTCAGCTTTATTTGTGTAGCACTTTTACAATGTAGATTGTGTCAAAGCAGCTTCACATAAATGATCATAGTAATTGGAACAGTGTAGTTCAGTGTTTAGTGTTAAGTTCCGCTCAGCTCAATTCAGTGTGGTTTAAAATCCTTACTGAGAGTCCAAACACTGAAGAGCAAATTCATGGATGGGTAGCTCTACCGATCCCAAACCATGCAAGCTAGAGGCGACAGCGGAGAGGGAAAAAAAAAAACTTCACCGATAGGCGAGTAAAGAAAAAAAAACCTTGAGAGAAACCACAGTGTGTGTGTATGTGTGTGTGCGTGAACTTTGTAACGACATTGCGTGTGACTCATCGAAAGGCTTCAATTAACTCCACAACAAATACATCAAATAATCATTGGGAAAGTTCTTACAAATCCCCCCAGTTTCTCTGGTCTAGAACCACCACTGACTATAACATGTAAGGCGGGATCATGAAAGGAACATTCAAAAAGCAACTCATGTAAACACCCTGATCATATTATTGTCTTTTTCAGATTAAGGCAAATCATTAGATCACTGATAACCATGTAAACATAGTCACACCCCAACCCTAGAAAAAAGGAGTTCAGTATTTTGATGACAGCCTTTCCACTGGTTAGTAGTAAGCTAATGTAATTTCTTAATGCACATAAAATAACTTTTGGTGTTAATATTTAAATCAATAACATCAAAAAACAGCTTTAATAATAATAATACCATAAATCACATGCCTAGAAATATAATCTCATTCATTCATTCATTCATTCATTCATTCATTCATTCATTCATTTTCTTGTCGGCTTAGTCCCTTTATTAATCCGGGGTCGCCACAGCGGAATGAACCGCCAACTTATCCAGCAAGTTTTTATGCAGCAGATGCCCTTCCAGCCGCAACCCATCTCTGGGAAACATCCCCACACACATTCACACGCACTACGGACAATTTAGCTTACCCAATTCACCTGTACCCAAGTGAACGCAGGGAGAACATGCTAACTCCACACAGAAACGCCAACTGAGTCGAGGCTTGAACCAGTGACCCAGCGACCTTTTTGCTGTGAGGCGACAGCACTACCTACTGCGCCACTGCTTTGCCCAAATATAATCTCACTTAATACAAAAGAGAATATTTTTATTAAATAAATATATTCTTTTCTAATTTAATATAATCAAAGTAAATTACTGTATCCCATTCTATTTTCTGTGCACAGTCATTTCAGTATTAATATTTCACACAATTAATCAATAAACATCTAGCAATATGATCTCGCTTAACACACAGGGGAAGCGCTCATGCACAGTAAAATTGCATATTTCATATGCTGCCTTCTCATTGGCCGCTCTTTGTGACAGGCAGCTGTGGACACGCCCCCGTGCTGCGCCTGGTGGTGTTGCATGTGCGCGAGTGCAGTCGGCAGTTTTGAAAGCAGTTCCTGATAGAGAGACTATCGCTCCGCTTCTACACTGGCAGAGCAGAAGAAAGAGAGAGAGCGAGGGAGAGGGGAGAGCGAGAGAGAGAGAGAGAGAGAGAGAGGTTTCTCCCCGAGCGCCGGGTCCACATTTGCACGATGGCATCAGATCCAGGGCTGCTGCCCCTCTTAGTGTGGACTATATCAATGCAGGTCCTGGGATCCAGAGGAACATCCAATAATGAAGGTAAGAGTGTGTGTGTGCGTGTGTGTGTATCGTATGGATGGGGATCTGTGCTGTCTTCTTTATACAGTACATGACAGCCTGATGTACACATATACATATTCATAGATGTGACCGGAGCCGGAGACTGAGAAGTACATCAAAAACTCTTGGAATTTGAGCTTAAAGTTAATCTGAGCAGGTTTCTTATTCTGTCTGCTAAACTAATATTCTTATAGCATCATATTTTTGGTTATAGCTGTTAGATGAACGTGATGAAACGCAGAGACAGGCTTTAAAACTAAAGTCGAATCTATCTTTAATGGAGGCAGATTTGTGGTTATTAGGGCAAGGATGTTTTTATAGTAATGTATATTAGTAACTATTAGATAGTTTCTTATTCTGTCTTCCTAACTATAATTCCCATATCGTTATAGGCTGTATTTTTTTGTTACAGCTGTGAGATAAATATTATGAACAACAGTAAAACAAAAGCAATAAAACAAAAGTCGAGTATATCATGAAGGGATTTGTGGATACAGGTAGATTTCTGGTAATTAGGGGAAGGATATTTTTCAGAAACATCTATTGTTTGTGTATAATAACTATTAGAATTTAAGCTTAAGTCAATTATTGCCTTCCTAAGTTAAATTCTTATATCTTTAGATTAGATTTTGCTATAGATGTGAGATAAATATATTAAAACAACAACGGCATACAGTAAAATTAAAGTTGAGTATATGAATAACAGATCTGCAGATGAAGCTAGATTTATTGTTAATAGGGCAAGGATGTCTTTTTTTAATATAAATGTATATTAGTGACTATTAGAATTTGAGCTTAAACCTATTCTGTCTTACTAAGTTAAATTCTTATGTTGTTAGGCTATTTTCTTTTTGTTATAGCTGTGATTAATATAATAAAACAACAACGGCATACAGTAAAACAAAAGTTGACTGTCATGAACAGATCTGCAGATAAAGGTAGATTTGTAGTTATAAGAGCAAGGGTATTTTTTTTTTATAGAAATGTATATTAGTAACTGTTAGAATTTGTTTCTTATTCTGTCTTCTTAACTACAATTCTTATATTGTTGTAGGCTGTATTTTTTTGTTACAGCTGTGAGATAAATATAATAAAACAACAATGACATAGAGTAGAACAAAAGCTGAGTATATCATAAATGGATTCATGGATAAAGGTAGATTTTTGGTTATTAGAGCAAGGATATTTTTCAGAAACATATATTGTTTGTGTATAATAACTATTAGAATTTGAGCTTAAAGTCAATTATTGCCTTCCTAAGTTAAATTCTTATATCTTTAGATTAGATTTTGTTATAGCTGTGAGATAAAAATATTAAAACAACAACAATAACATACAATACAACTAAAGTCGAGCATATCATGAATAGTTTTGCAGATAAAGGTAGATGTATGGTTATTACTGCAAGGATATTAGTGACTATTAGAATTTGAGCTTAAAGTTAATTATTCTGTCTTACTAAGTTAAATTCTTATGTTGTTAGACTATTTTCTTTTTGTTATAGCTGTGATTAATATAATAAAACAACAACGGCATACAGTGAAACAAAAGTTGACTGTTATGAACAGATCTGCAGATAAAGCTAGATGTGTGGTTATAAGAGCAAGGGTATTTTTTTTTATAGAAATGTATATTAGTAACTGTTAGAATTTGTTTTCTTATTCTGTCTTCTTAACTAAAATTCTCCTATCGTTTTAGGCTATATTTTTTCTTATAGTTGTGAGATGAATATAATAAAACAACAATGACATAGAGTAAAACAAAAGTCGAGTATATTGTTTGTGTATAATAACCATTAGAATTTGAGCTTAAAGTCAATTATTGCAGTTTCTTATTTGCAGTTTCTAACTATAATTCTGGTGGTTCATTCCGCTGGGGCGACCCAGGATTAATAAAGGGATTAAGGCAAAAAAAAATAATAATAAATGAACTATAATTCTTATATCAATATAGGTTATATTTCTGTTATAGCTGTGAGATAAATATAATAAAACAACAACGATATACAGTAAAACTAAAGTCGAGTCTATCATGAATGGATCTGCAGATAAAGCTAGATTCATAGTTATTAGGGTAAGGATATTTCTCATTAAAATATGTCAATCACTATTAGAATTTGAGCTTAAAGTCAATTATTGTAGTTCTAACTAAAATTCTTGTATCGTTAGGCTGGATGTTTGTTTATGCGGTGAGTTAAATATAATAAACAACAACGACACAGTAAAACTGAAGTCGAGTATATCATGAACAGATTTGCAGATAAAGGTAGATTTATCGGCACAGCGGAATGAACCGCCATCTTATCCAGCATATGTTTTTACGCAGCGAATGCCCTTCCAGCTGCAACCCATCTCTGGGAAACATCCACACTCATTCGCACACACACTTATACACTACGGACAATTTAGCCTTCTCAATTCACCTGTACTGCATGTCTTTGGACTGTGGGGGAAACCGGAGCACCCAGAGGAAACCCACACGAACGCAGGGAGTACATGCAAACTCCACACAGAAACGCAAACTGAGCTGAGGTTCGAACCAGTGACCTTCTTGCTGTGAGGCGACAGCACTACCTACTGCGCCACTACGTCGCCACCTGTGACATACAGCAAAACAAAAGTTAACTATATCATGAATGGATTTGCAGATAAAGGTAAATTTATGGTTATTAGGACAATCTTTTTTTTAAATTAAAAAATACATTAATAACTATTAGATTTTGAGCTTAAACTCAATTATTGCAGTTTTTTATTATGTCTTTCTCACTAAAATTCTAATTTTTAGATTACATTTTTGTTATAGCTTTACAGTAAAACAAAAGTTGAATATGTTATGGATGAATTCATGGATAAAGGTAGATTTTTGGTTATTTGGGCAAGGATATTTTACATAAAAATGTAGATTAGTTACTATATAAATTTGAGCTTAAAGTCAATTGTAGTAACTAAAATTCTTATATTGTTTGTTTATATATATATATAATAATTTATATACATATATAATAAAACAACAATGACGTACAGTAAAACAAAAGACTTAGTTTACTATGAATGCATTTGCAGATAAAGGTAGATTTGGGTTATTAGGGCAAGAATATCTTTCATAAAAATGTATATTAGTAACTATTATAATTTGTTTCTTATTCTGTCTTCCCACCTACAATTCTTATATAGGCTATATTTTTGTTATAGCTGTGACATTAATATAATAAAACAACAACGACATACAGTAAAACTAAAGTCGAGGGTATCATGAACACATCAGCAGATGATGCTAGATTCATGGTTATTAGGGCAAAGATATTTTTCATAAAAACATACATCAATAACTATTAGAATTTGAGCTTAAAGTCATTTATTTGCAGTTCCTAACTATAAATCTTATATCTTTATAGGCTATAACTTTGGTATAGCTGTGAGACAAATGTAATAAAACAACAACGATATACAGTAAAACTAAAGTCCAGTATATTATGAATTGATTTGTGGATAAAAGCTAGATGTATGATAATTAGGGCAAGGTGATTTTTTCATAATAATGTGTACTGGAGACTATTAGAATTAGAGCTTGAGGTCAATTATTGCAGCTTCCTATTTGCAGTTCCTAAAGAAAAATTCTTATGTTATTGGAGTTTCTGAGATAAATATAATAAAGTGAGGATATTTTACATAAACAAATTTGCAGATAAAGGTAGATGTATGGTTATTAGGGAAAGGATATTTTTCACAAACATCTATTGTTTGTTTATAATAACTGTTAGAATTTGAGCTTAAAGCCAATTATTTTATTCCTGACTAAAATTCTCACATCGTTATAGTTTAGTTATTGCTGAGACATTAATATAATAAAACAACAGTGACATACAGTAAAACAAAAGTTGAGTGTGTCATGAATGGATTTGCAGATAAAGCTGGATTTGTGGTTATTAGGGCAAAGATATTTTTGATTAAAATGTATATTAGTAACTAGAATTTGAGCTTAAAGTTAATTATTGTTGTCCTAACTAAAATTTTCGGTCACACTTTACAATAACGTTCATTGGTTAATGTTAATTAATTCATTTACTAACATGAACAAACAATGAACAATGCATTTACCACTGTATTCGTTCATATTAGTTAACGTTAGATAATGAAAATACAGTAGCTCATTGTTAGTTCATGTTAACTCATGGTGCATTAACTAATGTTAACAAGCATGGACTTGGTTGTTAGTAATGCATTAGTAAATGTTCAATTATGATCAATAAATGCTGTACATGTGTTGTTCACATCATCATTAGTTCACAATCATTAGTTCATGTTAGTAAATGCATTACTAATGAACCTTATTGTAAAGTGTTACCAAATTTTTATATCTTAAGGCTATATTTTTTTGGTTGTAGCTGTGCGATAAATGTAATAAAACAACAATGACACACAGTAAAATATATCATAAATGGATTTGCAGATAAAGGCACGGATATTTTTTATAAGCTTAAAGTCAATGATTGTCTTCCTAACTAACGTTCTCATATCGTTAGGCTATATTTTTGTTCTGTGAGATAAATATAATTAAGCAACAACGATATACAGTAAAACAACAGTCAAGTGTGTCTTGAATGGATTTGTGGATAAAGCTAGATTTATGGTTAATAGTGCAAGAATATTTTTCATAAACATCTACTGTTTGTATATATTATTTATTAATTTGAGCTTAGTCAGTTATGATGATGAGTTTGTATTTTAGTTACAGCTGAAAGATAAAAATAATACAGCAACGAAATGCATTATGTTATGAACACAAATGTTTATTTGGACTATAAGTTTTATTAATATTATTATTATTATTAGTAGTAGTAGTAGTAATGCCTAAACTAATTCATCTTTATATCTAGAGTATGTTGTCCAAGTTTTAATTTACTGCAATAATAATAATGTATAATAATAATAAAAGCAATAGGAGTGTGTGAGAGACTTCGTCATACAGATTGGATGTTT